TTCCGTGTTCTTTGGTGACTCGCTCCGCTCATAGGGCTTCGCGCGAAGGCTCACCACTGCCAACGAGTGCACATGTACCAGCCACCTACACCCGTCTCAAGGTCTGGGAATTAGCCCCGTAAGAACTCGAGCCAACCAGAGTGCACCATTTCCTGATTGGATGCGGGAATAAAGCATGCGCTGGGCTTCCGGCAATCCTCTACGCTCTCGTCACTTCCTACACCGGCGGTTGCTCGCTCTGCTGACAGTCAAATGCCTCCTGCCTATTCTTTAATTCCCTTTGTACTGAATGAACGATTCCTAACATCCTGGCCACCGATGACTTCTCTTCCCTTAAGGAACCGGACCTGAAGATCGCTGTTGTAAGGTTTTAACGTACTTAACCCCCCGCGATGGTCCCATGCTCAACATTATCCCAAAACCACCTAATCTTAACTAACTCCTAGTTATAAACTTAACGCTAGTCTTAGCTCCAATTTAAGCTGTTATGGAAGTTGGTACTAGACTACCTTAAAGTCCAACTGCCCGCAAAGCTCTCGATCAGATAATCGTTAGGACGCGGGTAGGGACACATTTCTACTCCGAACGCTTGTTCTATCAACATATTTCTTGGTCGGTTGCACTGGCAACTCGGGCATAACATCCCTCATTTCCTATTTGCCTGTCTGGTTCCCTGGTTCACTCCAATTCGACTGATTTCATGTTCGTATTTTATAGCATTTGTTCAGCACTAGCGCGCCGCATTGTCGTCTTCCCATTCCAGGAATACATTTCATGGGCAGAGCTGAGTTGTAGGGTACCTCAAGATTTCTATCATTCCCGCCCAGCTGCTTAACGTATTTTTTGGCCAAGCATTTAATTCTTGGATAGTGAGCGTAAATTAATGTGTAATTGTGGCAGAAGTGATCAAAAAATATTAAATTAAATAAGAGTTTGTTTGTTTTTACATGCTAAAGTATAGCAAAATTAGACCAACATAAACTTCTGTTGCGCAGAATACGAATGCTAATTGAGAGAAATTTGACCTTATGTGTGCGGACTTTAACGAAAATGGAAAGTGGTCCGCCTATTGGTGGAATTTAACGAAACAATTTAAAGTCAGGCTACCGGACATTTCAAGGTAGTTTTTTTACTATAAGTGGACGGGTATTTTTGGGCCCCTAAAATAAATCTTAACGTTTCATGTTTTAACATTTTACCATTTATTAATCAAGAGGAGTCACAGTCCCCCACAGTCTGCTGGGCGGTCTTACTTTTTCCTCAGTCTTATTGTGAAACATATTGCTCTTACAACCAGTGACTTTTAAAACCGCGATTTTCGGCTTCGACGAAGGCTTAAACCACGACGGTCGTTCACTGGGACTTCAGCAGTCGAGATAAATATAGTCTGAAAGGTTAACTTTTTTTGATCGTGCGGCAGACCTGGTAGAAGGGACTCCATCAGCCAGGCTTCCCGACGCACTAGTTTTTTGAAGGTTGAAAGGCCCTTGCTATTATGTGCAAGAATTTTTGTTTTTATTTAGAAAAACCTCATTGTTTCCCGCACTCGCACCTCTGGATCAATTTCCGCGTTCGCAGTCGCAGATTTTGCATTGTAGGTACCCCTTAGAAGGGACCAGATCTCCGGATGGGTCCGATGTCGTCCATCATCGCCGAGGTCTATTGCATCGAAGGCGGGCTGGGTACGCCCGTCCATGTTGACGCGGAGTAGCGTGGACAGTAGCTGAATAAAATTGAAGCGGCCCGACACCCTGTCTATACGTCCCTTCGGCTCTCTGCATAGGAGCTGTGCTGCCCTAGAAAGGCGAACAAGCGCGAATTTGCAGTATTATTGTCTTTTCTTTGGAGTTAAAGTGTATCCTCCTGTCTCTTTTAACCTTAATCGCAAGTGTCATAATAGTGGGTCGGAAGGTTGCTCTAGCAACAAGTAACTTTTAGAACCATTCCAACTGAATATTCGGTCAAATACTTGTGTCGATCAGCAAGAACAAGGACATGGACTAGACTGGATGTCTACGGACGTGAAAACAATCATAATACATTGTTGTTGATGAACGCTCACTGATCCCTACTGGCATCCACGCGTTCGCTTCCGACTCGGGACTCGCTTTCGAGCCCCGCTAGCAGTCGCAGAGCGGCTAGTAGTGCAGACTATCTACCAATGTTGGCATAGGCTAGGGAGACTGGATTGAGAGTTTCTGGCTTATTAGCTGTCTTCAGTCAGTAATTTGCACAAAATGTGACGAATTCTAAAATCCCATTTTGGAAACAGTGGCGTAAATAGTGCACCACATGTAACCCTAGTCCCAACATTTTGCATTGCGGAAACCACGGTTATAGAGGTTTCATGGGTGGGGAAGTAGGAAATACAGTGAATTATATCTAAATTACTCCTATACGCATTTTTATTTTATTGTACATATAAATTTTGTTGATTTAATGTATAGATTTTCCGGCAAAAGTAACCTATGTAGGCCCACTCATATACCCTAGTTCCAGCATTTTGTCCTGCAAAAACGGTGGTTATAGAGTTTTGGGGTGGGAAAATAGAATAGGCAAAGAACGAAATTTTTAGAGGTAAGTGTAGTGAAAAAATGTAGTCGAAGTTGCTTTCCGCGGCCGCTTGTAGTAAGTTGTTCCGCATGTAAATTAAAGGTGTGCGCGGCGCATTGCGCCGCAGACTATAGTAACCTAACTCCACAACGGTAAGTTGGACCTCAGGTAAGTTGAAGTAGACGACCTCCTAAATACCATTTCAATTTTTCGGGATATTCAAGAAACCTGCACTTTGATAATCGGGTTTTCCGCAATAAGTTAAACGATAATGCAGATTGGGAAAATCTACAGATAGAAATCAACAACACTTCTTAATACAGTAAATTAAAAATGCGTTTAGCATTTATTAAAGTACATTCCACTGCGTGTCCTAATTCCCCACCCACAAAACCCTGCAACCACCGTTTTCGTAGGAAAACATGCAAGGAGTAGGGATTAATGAGTGGGCCTATATAAGCTACTGTTGCCGATTTTCCTAATCTGCATTATCTTTTAACGTATTGCAGAGGGACCCGATGATCAAAGTGCAGGTTTCTCGAAATTCCTGAAAAGGAAGAAATGTTGGTTAGGAGGCCGTTTACTTCATTTTACCTGGGGTCCAACTTACCGTTCTAGAGTCAGATTAGTATAGTCCGTGGCAATAACCTCCGCGCACACCTTCAATTTGCATGCGGAACAACTTATTTCCAGCGGCTACAGGAAACAAATTCAACTACACTTTCCCCCGTTACACTTACTTCTACTCATTTCATTTACTGTCTGTCCTATTTCCCAACCTCCAAACCCCTTTAACCACCGGTTCTGTAGGACGAATTGCTTAGACTAGGGTTATATGGGGTGCACTATTCAAACTATCCTTGCCCCATTTTCACTAAAATCGAGATTTACTAAGCTGCCTAATACGCCTAGTTCTGCCTAGATCTAATCCACATCTAGCAGGACCAACATGACATGGGTTTTCTTTTTTCAT